CCTGTCTCTTATACATTAATTTTTTTTTCTTTGCGGTAACCATAATGGTGGTCGAGTAGATCATGTTGTGCAGGGTGGAGAACCCTCACTCCGCGCAAGGGGGATGATCGCACCATGTTGTGTTAAAATGGTCAAGCACCCTCGAGGCAGTTACACAGTGCTTACAACTGTCTCAGGAAGTGAAGCACCAGAAAATAAATTAGGTCATATGCAGCTGTCATTCGTACGCAAGGAAGGATGCACAAGATGCCGAAAATCCTTAACAGGATGCAGCGCACACTTGATGCCACTCGCCGAATATCTCACGGCGCTTCGCGCTTGGTGATGTGAGAGCCTGGTCCGGTGAGAACCCGGCGTGCTCCGTCCCGGCTTTGTAGGGATGCGAGGTCAATGGTCTAACGACTACGGCATGCACGACTATTAGCACACACCCCGCTCACCCTTTCTTGTCCTTCGTTCCGACGATGATAATGCATGGTAACGACATATCCGGCTGTGTATCCGGCTGCCACGCTCGCGCGAACTGAAAAAAAAAAACTGCGCAGAGCGTCCGGTTTGTCCGCGGCACGCACTACCTGTTCACCTGTTCCAAGGACAAGACCGTCAAGCACTGGGACGCGGATCACTTCGAGAAGATCCTCACCCTCAAGGGTCACCAGTCCGAGGTAGGTGCGGAGGGTTTGGAGGGGGGGGGAGGGTGCAAACAGTAGTGGCAAACAGAAGAAGCGTCGTTGGTTTCACAGCCTTCGTTCTATCCGGCGTACTGCTGTACTGCTATGTGAGCAGACAGACGCCTGTGGCGGTTTTTCTACCTTTTGGTATGTTTTTTTTTTTGTTGGGTGGGGGGGGTGCGGACCGGCCCGGGCCGCTCAAACTTTTTTTCAGCGTGTGCTGTTGGTCAATTTTCTCTGTCGCGAAGAGAGCAATTCTAGCTCATAAAGTTCTTTTTTCGCCGGCGATGGTTACTGCTGTATTTGACCACCAGAGACTAGCCCTCTAAGGCATCAGGCGGAGCTCGGATGCGTAGTATGCACAGGGACATGTAATGCTGTTTGTCTACCAGTTGGTTGTTTTCTGGTGGGCGCCAAGCACCCTCGAGGGGCACCAGTTGGACGGAGTTGGTGTGACGTGAGTCAGTCCACTGGTGTTGGTTGTCGAAGGGCGGCTAATATCACGTGTCCTTTGGAGCATGCCATGCCAGTGTCTTTCCCTTGCGTGCTTGGTTTGAAAATGGTGTTTTGGAGAACTGACAAATTACCCGGTTTCCACCCATCGATCCCCCGCTTCCACACGCGGCGGGTTCAGTTGCGTTTCGGCACGAGGAAGATGTTGACTTCGTCATTGCGTACGGGCGTCCGACTCTTGTTCTTGTGTGATGAACACAAACCCAAAAGTTTCTCGTGGGGCGTACCTTAGCTCGATGCCCTTTTTTTGCCCATGTGTTCGTGTGCTCATTCAGTTTGTCGTCCATCCTTGCGTGCTCATCCTTATTTTTTTGTTCTCATACAAAACACAACCAAGTACCATCCGTGTTTTATCCGTCTGTGCTCGCTCGGCCACGTTAATACAACACCACCGCAGGCGTGGACGCTAGAGGTGTCCCCGGACGGGTCGTTCGTGCTCTCCGGTGGGCACGACCGGTCCCTCCGGCTGTGGCGCCGCACGGAAGAGATGGTCTTCCTGGAGGAGGAGCGCGAGAAGGAGATGGAGGGACTCTTCGAGAGCGAGCTCGACCGGGACGATGTCGCCGCGCCGGGAGCCGACGGCCTCGCGCTGCCTGCCCCGCAACGGAAGCCAGAAGGTGTCTGGAGGGGAGACGGGGATTGGTAGAGGGGGGCGAGGGGTGGAGGGGCGTACTCTTATGTTTTGCATACCTATTTGGTTAGACCATTGACCACGCATCCTCGACAGGACGGAGCATTGCTCCCACAGGGCCGATCACCGTATGCTGTGGAAGAGGGGGGATGTTTCAATTTGTGGGGAGGGAGCGGAACGGGGGAGGATACTATATACGATTGTGGTGAGACTGGTTTGAGGGGTAGTCCTTACCGCACACCCATTGCGCCATGTCACGGGGGCCGTGGCTACCTCCTCACAGACCAGGTCGAAGCGGCGGGGGGTTGTACCGTTGTCACGGCACCGGGGTGGTGCGAGGAACCCGGAACCCCCACCGTAGGTTTTGTGTCGCCCTGACCCGCACGACTAACACAACCCTACCTTTGTTGCATCCTGCATACATACATCACGGGGTCAGATCTGTCATGAATCAGCGCGGTACAGGTGCCAAGAAGGGAAACAACGTAGAATAATAGTCCTGACCCGCACAATTCAAACGTCAACCCCTTGCACCATTTTGACATCATTCATACGTACATCACCGGGGCCGGGCCCATTAAAATTTTCGCCGCGACACACATAGGCGCCGAAGAGGGAGGTGACGGCGATGGCGGCGCACAGCAGGCGGAGTCCGGGCCGGCCACCAAGCGGTCCCTGGAGTCGGTGAAGGCGGGCGAGAGGCTCATGGACGCCCTGGAGCTCGCGGAGCTGGAGCTGAAGCTCGTGCGCGAAGAGGAGAGGGCGGCGGCCAAGGCCAGACGACGAGGGGAGCCGGCGCCGCCCGCGCGGCGGCCGAACCCGATTCTTCTCAACCTTTCTCCCGTGCGATACGTCCTCAGAACCCTCCAGGTGAAAATGAGAGGGAGAGGGGTCGTGGGGAGGGGAGGGAAGGGTTGTAGTTATGTACACCCATGCCGCACCCGTTTTGACCATTGGCCTCGCATCCCTACACAATGTGGGGACGGGAGCGTGTACTTATGTTTTGCATGCCTTAGCGGTTAGACCATTGACCACGCGTCCTCGAGAGGACGGAGCATTGTTCCCACAGGAGAATGAGGGAAGGGGGTTGTACTGATGCGAACGCACGCCGTAGTCGTGAAGACCACTTGCCTCGTATCACTGCAATCCCGGGACGGGGGCGACGGGGGGGGGTGCGAAAGCGGCGCAGATGGGGGGGATGCGAGAGAGGCATCGACGGAAGAAATCATGAATGGGATAGGTTGGGCTCGTCCTGCGTGCACATGCATACCAAGGACGCGTGATGCGCTTGAGACTTTACAACGCCTCCTGCCGCACTAAGTTGATTGCACTTTCGGTTGCACCGAAAGTAATCCCCCCACCGACCCTATTGCCTGTCAAAACGGTGACCGTGACGGATTTGTTTTGTTTTTTTAATCCCCAGATGATCAAGACGCCGGAGCTAGAGCAGGCTCTGCTGGTGCTACCATTTTCGCAGGTGGAGAGCCTGGCGAACTTCCTAGTAAGGCTGCTCGCAGCTGGGCTGGAGATCGAGCTGTGCGCACGCTGCGCGGTGTTTCTTCTGAGAGTACACCAGGTATGTGTGTGCGTAAGTATTGATGGGTGGGGATGCTGGATGGATGGATGCATTGCACACATAGATGATTGGATGCATGGATGGATGGATGGATGGGCGTATGTAACTGTACGTTTGTTTGATTGGAAATCGGCCGACACACGCGGAGGCATCGAACAAGATCTGAAACGGTTGCTAATTACTGTATTAGTGATCTCGGAGTCATCCCTTATAGGGGTACCACGGAGGAGACTAAACGCAAGGGTTTTGGTCAAGCGTTGTGATCGGTGATTGTGTGCTTTTAGGTTGAAAAGAGAGAATCGTCCTCGGCCGACGTTGGGGAGATTGTACGCATGCTATACCCATTCTTTCGTTCTCAATATAATTGTTGCCTGCAAGACTAGGAGGTAGATGACGAAAGATGACGAGAAAGTCCTGTCGATTTTGAGACGCGGATTTTCTTTTGTCTAGGCGAGGAGGTGCAACCAAGGCAATATCGATTGCCGTTCGGTGCAGGCGAGAACAACGATATGGGAGAACTACGAGCGATGGGACAATGTCGTTATCGCCGAGTTAAGATTATTTATGATCCCACGGTGGCCTTGCTGATCATCTCGTCTCTTCTCACGACATGGAGTGATTCAATCGCGAACAGCATACCCCCCCCCTCCCCCCGCCCTCCGGTCGGCGAAATCGCATCTGTGCCCCGCGCATGACTTCGCAAGGAGACGGAAGGGTCCGTGTCGCAATGATGGGTACACATACATGCACGCGGACGGAAAGGCCATGGATAGAAACACCTAGCAAGGCTAGCTGGCGTTTTTCGCCCCGCTTAAGCTTGGCGTCTTTCCATTGGTCAGTCGACTACAGCAGTACCACGGTATATGCCAGGCGAAGAAATACAGCAAAACACGCACACATGCATTCCTCTGACCGTCGGTCACGACCCCGGACTCCCCCCCGGCTGGGCTGCCTTTCGCTCGCAGGCGAGGATTGTGTCGACGGGCAGCATGGTGGTCGTCCTCGATGCCCTCCGGAACAACCTTCGGCGCCAGCTCGAGGCGTCGAGAGACGTTGTGGGGAGGAACATGGCGGGGCTTCGCATCCTGGGGAGGCTGGCGGAAGAGGACAAGAACTCCTATCTCATGGAAAGCGAGGAAGACCGCCTGGCAAAAAGAATGCGGCAGGCGTAAGCTTTGTAATGTTTTTTCTGTAAGAGAAGAAAACAGGTTGATTGTGCGGTGGTCGACCGGTCGCTTTTATGCCAAGGAACTCAGGAAATACAAAACGTCTTTTATTGGGTGTGTGCGTGTGTGTTTTTATTGTGAGCATCGACCGGACTAACCAGCTGACCAATGAAAAGACGTCAATCTCAGCGCGGTTGAAAATAGCGTTTTTTTTTTTGCACGGCTGTGCAGTTTTGTTGGTTAACAAGAGACTGAGTGGTTTGACCGAGAATTCTTGACTGGCATACAGGGAAGTTCACCATATTTAGCAATTCCCGTAAGTAGTGTCACTTCGTGTGCAGGGGTCGTTCGACGGTGGTAACGGTGCAGTGCGTACCGCTAGAGAGGTGGGAACGAAGTTTCTGGGGTTGTTTAGATGCTGCTGCCTGAAGCAAGGTTTGGTGGCGGCGTTTTTGATTGGAAGGCACCGGCGAGGGACGAACTCGAGACCGTTCGCGCAACAAAAGGCAGCAGTGGCTTCCGTTCGACGGAGCCGTCATGGGGTAGGCAACGTTGGCTTGACCTCCTGATGAAAAGCCGTGAGTAGGGTGTGCACCACCTTCCAGACAAATTTGATCTGCTGTTATATGTGCGTTGGAAGGAAACAAACATAAAATCAGGCGGAAGGTGCTCTCTGCCTGATGGGCTCGTCTTGAAGGATTGATTGCAAGGCGAATCGTGCCTAGTCTACAGAGAGGCAATCGTCCTCCACAGACGACGTTGGGGAGATCGTTCCACCCGTTATTTTGGAACGGTTTGGGGAAGATTTGTACATCCACCCGCATAGAACGGGATCTCTGAGCCGCTTGGGCTATGCATATGTCCGCGAGAGAGATTGGGTTCTCTTGTAACGCCAATCACATCAATTCACCCGCAGTGGACGTTGGGGATTGGGGAGAGAGAGGTGGTACCCTGCACGAACGGGAGATATCTCCACAAACAAGATCAAGTGCGTCCGTTACTGGTATGCATATATATAATAATATGTGTGTCATCACCTACTTCCACGGCCGCCTTCGAAAGCTTATTCTGTTGTGGCCCCGTATCGTACTGCGGCTGCTGTAGGGCAACAGGTGCTAGTGGCCCCACAGCTTTGTTGCCGGGTCTCTTAAAAGGCCAAGTGCGAGTTGCGCTCGTATTCGCGCACAATTTTTCAAAAATGCGTTGCGAGAGCCAACTATATATGGTAAAACTCCACGGGAATGTTTAGTATAGGATGTACTATTAGTACTGACCCGAGTATTGAGTAAGTATCTGGCTCTTTTCGCCCAGTAGAGTAATACTCACACTTTAGTACAGCTTTTCATACTCTACTAAGAATACTGTGGCGTTTAGTACAGCTCTTCGTACTAACTAAACCTTTTGTAAGTACGGCTCTTCAATACTCTACTAAACATTTTTTGAGTATAGTACGGCTTTTCCTCTACTCATACTCACATTTTAGTATGGCTCTTCATACTCTACTCAACATACTCATGCGGTTTAGTACATGCTTTTCATACTCTACTAAACATACTCTTTGGGTTTAGTATGGCTTCCTATACTGTACTATACTTTCACTTTAGTATAGCTTCTCATACTCTACTAAACATACTGTTGCGTTTAGTATGGCTGCCCATACTCTACTCAGGCCATAGTACAGCTCGCCATACTCAACTCAGAGTACNAGTGGTGAGTGGTAAGAACGGAGAGGGAGGAAGCGACGGAGCATCGAGGGGGGGGGAGGTGTAATATGTTGATGTTGATGTTGATGTTCATCATGCAATCAAATCAACGCTCGTACGGAGTAGTGGTTTTTCTGTCAGTATTGTCAGTACATGTACTGTACTAAGCGTTTAGTATGGCTCTCCATACTGTACTCAATGTGGCGTTCAGTATGGCTCTCCATACTGTACTCAACGTACTGTGGCGTTTAGTACAGCTCTTCATACTGTACTAAACGTACTGTGGCGTTTAGTACAGCTTTTCGTACTCTACTAAGAATACTGTGGCGTTTAGTACAGCTCTTCGTACTATACTAAAATTTTTGTAAGTACGGCTCTTCAATACTACTAAACATTTTTTTGAGTATAGTACGGCTTTTCATACTCTACTCATCATACTCACATTTTAGTATGGCTCTTCATACTCTACTCAACGTACTCTTGCGGTTTAGTACGGCTTTTCATACTCTACTAAACATACTCTTTGAGTTCAGTACCTGACCTCTGTACTCTACTCAGGTGAGTAGAGTATTCACCTCTCTCATACTCTACTCTACTCAGCCGTTAGTACAGGTTCTCCATACTCTACTAAACATACTATACTATACTAAACATTCCCGTGNGACCTCTGTACTCTACTCAGGTGAGTAGAGTATTCACCTCTCTCATACTCTACTCTACTAAGCCGTTGGTATACAGGTTCTCCATACTCTACTAAACATACTCTTTGAGTTCAGTACCTGACCTCTGTACTCTACTCAGGTGAGTAGAGTATTCACCTCTCTCATACTCTACTCTACTAAGCCGTTGGTATACAGGTTCTCCATACTCTACTAAACATACTATACTATACTAAACATTCCCGTGTAAAACTCGCCCGATCTATCAACTCTTTATGTCGCCCCGGTGGTCTTGGCATCCTCGTAATCCGCTAGTTGTATGTATAATGGCCACACTACTGAATGAACCAAACAGCAGGGTTGTTCCCTGTTTTCTGCAACAAACCGCACAACAAACGTCAAGAAAAAAATTCAAGCCAAAGCCATGCCACACATTCAATTCCAACAGGAACAAAAATAATACGCACAGACACTACTTGTTGTTGTTGTGACTTCCTTCCTCCGGAGAATTCACCTGAAAATACATGCAGTACCAAACGAAACAGAAAAATAACAGCAACAAATAAGGAAAGCGCCTCGAATACGATACATCGGACTCATATTCAAGACACCACAAACACACACCACGGGCAAAAAAAACAGCGTACTCGCGTAATACTCCCGTACTACTACTCTCCGCGCCCTCTATTATTGTACCCATGGTACATGATTGAGAAGGGCAGCTGCGGCAATGCGATCGCTGAAGCTCGACTCCTGCCTCTCTGGTCCATACTACTACACACACGCACGCAGAATAGAATATGCTTGCTCCATGAAGGCAGAGGATGGCTGAATCAGTGATGTGCGGTGTGTCCTGTGTTCCTGTGGTCTTGTGGTCTTCGGTCTTCGTACTTTGCGTCTTTTCCCTCCTCTCTTCTTGTACAAAGAAAGGTCAAGTAGTTTGAATCAACAGTCATCAAGGTTGGTTTCAACAACGAATGTGGAATGTTTTAATCAACACCGACCGAATCTCCAATCTCCAGATCTACAGTTTGTTGTCTGATCTGTGAACTTGAAACTCTAGAGTTAAAAGACCAAGAGGCTTTGAAGGGGATAAAAAAGCTCTGTTTTGGTTACAATGAGCTGTCTGAGCGTCTGAGCCACCCCTTACCCCCATCTCACTCGTGCATAATCACCGCTACGCACGACAACCCCTGTTATGCACACTTTCATGCATAAAAAATGTATATATGCGCGCGCCAACTTATGCTTTTGCTTATGCACGAAAAGCCCAGTCATGCATAAACATCAGCATGCATAACAGGTCAGGGCCTAAAAATAACACTCAGTGCTGCACGACAGAAAAAAAAAAAAGTAAGCGGAGGAACNCGCACGACAACCCCTGTTATGCACACTTTCATGCATAAAAAATGTATATATGCGCGCGCCAACTTATGCTTTTGCTTATGCACGAAAAGCCCAGTCATGCATAAACATCAGCATGCATAACAGGTCAGGGCCTAAAAATAACACTCAGTGCTGCACGACAGAAAAAAAAAAAAGTAAGCGG